GCGGTTCCAGTTTTATTCTAAAATAGGTACATAATTGTGTATTATTACAATTATTATTTAAAACCCTGAGGGTTACTGGTAGAATATGCCACTTGGAATCAAGTTCACCATGTACCGTAACTTTATTGTATTGTGTACATGACAATCTAAATAAATCAATATTATTATGTACCTGTATGTACTCCAATGATAATCTTAGCTTAAAACTTTAGTTTAAAACATCAATTAATTAGCACATATAATTCACACTATCTCTATCACTATAGATTGTACCTAAATGATAATGCCAATAAACCTGAACCATATTTAATAGTACCTACCTACCTACTATTTTTTATTTTTAAGAACAATTTTTAAATCATTGTTCTGGGATCAATCATATTCTACAATTTCAAGTGAATGTATGTCTAGTACTATAACAGTGGACTCTCAACCTCTTCTAAAGCCTCACAGAGATGTATCAATCAGTATCAAAGTCATATATTTAAGTAAGACGACTGCCTGGTCAGTCAATCCATTTTTCCACCAACAATCCTAATATTGCATGAGCTTATTAGCTCTGTATATCACTATGTATGGAGTCATGATCATAATGTAGATCTACTGAAAATGGAGAAGTTAGATAATATATAAAAAAAAAAAAAAAAAAAAGAAACTGATAATTTTGAAGAAAACAACCTATTGAAAGACGTTAAATTTTCGCAATAGACTGAATTTGAACAACGTTATAGTTCAAAACGTACATAGTAGGTGTACCTATAGTTGGTGTAGTGGACACCAGAATTTCAAGATAATAATATTGTTGCTATGCTTACTAAATAATTAAATTAATAAATAAGGACATTTAATTATTTTTCCATCACAATACATAATGATGTAGATCTTAATATTAATCTTATAATATTGACATAAGCTTGTTTCTTCTCTTCACTTCACTTTGGTTCTACATAGGGTTAATGCAGTTTACCTGACAATACAATGATGAAAGTCAGGAACCCAAACTAAGATAACCCGTGCTTTGGGCTTCTGTTTATTTTTAATACTATTTTTAAAATGTATTTAATTTTATAAGTATTTTTATTTGATAAAAATGATTGAAAACAATACCATAACCATAAGTAGCTATTATATCTAATAATGGTTTAGTGGCTTACATCTTGGGGAAATTATAAACGTAATTTGATTATTGCTTAAGTTTTTACTAGTACTATATAGTACTCGTGAGATATTGATGTTATTGACAATGTCATATATCTTGTTTAAGTGCAACAATGTTCAATGATTAAACAGTGTTGTTTGTCAACACAACTCCTTCTTTGAACGTCTACTAGTATAATTAGCGAGGATGACGCTACCTATACAATTAAATAGATCGGACTAACTTACCTGTGACGTCCGATCCTCAATTGTGTAGGTAGCGTCATCCTCGCTAGGTCCCAACCCTTCCCGGATAATAAACATGTTTATTTTTACCCCTGGTCGAGTTGTGTTGCAGTTGCAGGTGCTTTGAAGTAAATGATGTTGCCAGTGAGATGACCATAGAGTATAAATATTTTTTTTATGAATGTGTTCATCTTTAAATATTGTGACAGCGTGCCCAGATTAGTGCCTACTACTAGTATAATTAGCGAGGATGACGCTACCTACACAATTGAGGATCGGACGTCACAGGTAAGTTAGTCCGATCTATTTAATTATATTATACATAACTATATACTCCTGTCTTGAAGAACCCCATATAATAATACAGCCCACAGGGAAAACCGTAGCAGGGAGTACGTCCACAGAAATAAGTGATGGAACCTTGAAAAAGAAACAACTAACGATTGTTTATAAATTCTAAGCTTCTAGTAATGACATCAAGACTAATTTGCATAAAATTATTATTATTTATCCTGACAAGACATAGAGAAATAATAAAGATGGATATTCATAGATGTTTATGCAAATTTTACATTTACAAACGTGTCGTGCACAATACAGTAGCAATGGCGTATAATTTATTATTTAAGAAGCAAATATTAGATTCGTTTAAACGAAATATAAAGACGAATGTGAACCATGCTTGACGTAATTCGGTGAGATTAAATATTATGTTGTTATGATTTGGTAAAAATTTGTGGCATATAGGTAAGTGAATCAAATACATATATGCGTTGTGTTACTATATAACTAGCGATCCGCCCCGGCTGCGCACTGGTGCAATTAGAAACCTCTAAATTTATCAGTGTTTCTCTACTATATTATGCATATAAACCTTCCTTAAGTATCACTCTATCTATTAACAAAACCGCATCAAAATCCGTTGCGTAGTTTTGAAGATCTATGCATACATAGGGACAGACAGACGGCGGATAGGGGCTTTGTTTTATACTATGTAGTGATGAATGGTGTACAATGAAGATTATTCTATCGTATTCCATCTTGGCGGCAAGCAGCCCCAAAAATATATTAGACTTATAAAATAACTGACGAAATTATATACCTACATATGTTATGTACATACTTGTGCATTGCACATCCTTCTGGGAAAAACCACTCATGTTTTTTTTTCCTTTTTGTACAATATTCACATTAAATTACTTATTCTTAATTTCATGGAACACCTGCCTCCAAAAGTCGATTGCAAATCTTCAAAAAGACACAAATAAAAAAACAAAAAGTATTTTCGTTCGAAGCCGGTACATCGTGTGGACATTGACGTAGCCTGTCCAGTTTCCGACTGATTGCTATTCAGGTATCGTTTCATGATTACCATTAACTAGTGTCAGTCGGTCCGTGTGTGTGTCAACGAACTAATTCGCAAACAAAGGACGATACTAATCAATGACTGAACATTTTGCATCGCTTACATTTCCTTTTAATTAGTAAAATTTACTCAAAATTTTGTAAAAATCCCATGATGAGTTGGTATGCATCATTTTTAGCCTATAAAACTCTACAATAAATTCATACATGCACCCATAGATAAGTTAAATAAAAAAAATATATAACAAAATGTAAAGAGTGGGACAAACAACACGTATATTTCATATCTCTCTTTCACTCTTACAACAACACAAATCGATTAATAATTCATTGTAATCGTAGGCATGTAATATAAACGATATATAAATTATACAGAAACAAATCTTCTAATAATACTCTGAACCTAATTAAGAATATTCTCATCGTTTTACGAAATAAACGAGTTTCACATAGGTACTTATATTTTGTCACACACTGGCTGGTTACAATGTTTTTTTTAATACATAACATATCATCACGCCTTTAATCCGAAGTCGTCGGCAGAGGTGCACATTACGCCACTTAATGCCACTGTACAATGTAACACCCACTTTTTACTAATTATATTACAAGTCCCATGTAATAGGGGGTGAGCCTATTGCCATATACCGGGCACAAATCCAGACACCGTGCTACTACTGAGATCTTTTAAAAAACCCAGTAATACTTTGCCAGACCCCCGAATCGAACCCCTTGTCTGACAGTCACACTTGCATACACTCGACTAATGAGGCAGTTTTAATACTGACATGGCGATAATTCTGCAATAAATTAACAAGCTAGTCTAATGAGTTGAGGATCCCTTTGAAACTATACCATTAATTTGACATAACTATGATCCATGGAAGAATGATAACAGGAAGAGAATCATAGATGTTTAATTACGACACTGGTATAAATATAAGATCACGGTTGTTCGTTTGTTTGTGTTTGTCACATAATCGAACTTAAGTTTGAGATGTTCAACATGCAGTTGAGTTGTAACTAAACATACTATGACCAACACATACAATTCCCGGGTCGGGCAAAGTAATACCGGTAATTTTAAAAAAATCTCAGCACGGAGTGTGGAAATGTGTACGGTATGTGGCTGGGACTCATAACATAAATAGTGGAAAGTGGGTATTATATTGTGCAGTAGCATTAACTGCCGTAACATGCACCTCTGCCTACCCCTTCAGGAATAAAAGGCGTGATGTAATGTTATGTATGACCAACATAACTAATGGATAATCTTCGTCTATCCACAAGGAGTGACAATTAAAATGAGTCCAGCCGTTAAAAATACTAATTATAGATAAATATATACTTACACGTAGGATACGGAAGATTCTAAACATGTTACCTAATGTCTCTTTAGCTTTAAAGAATGAATAATTACATTAGCTCATCAAAATAAACAAGACAATCTTATTTTGGAAAGACAGTTAAACAAACAAAGTTACTATCTATTTAGTTCTTTTACACTCGTCATCAAGTCTTCATTCCTTACACAGCGTCATCATTTTATTGACGAAACAAGCAAAAACGTTGAATATTCATCGTTACACAACTCAAAAGTAAAAACGGTCAAATAACGAATTTAGCAAAATATGCAAATTGAAATGAAAACACTTAATTACGCTTGTTAAGTTGAAATAAAGCAGAAAAACAGGTTTAATGGGTCCTAAAATAAACCTTAAGTAGTTTTTCAGATACCAAATGACGTCATGTAAAATTAATAACGAGATTTCTTTGTACAACCTGGTACTTTGAACGTTTTTAAGATAAATTTTGACGCCAAAAAAACAGACGACACGCAAAAAACTATTACTACAAACTTAGCTCATAGTGCTCTTAACTATTTAAGCAAATAAGTAACTGGAAATAATGCAACTGCATTATTTTTCAAACATTACAAAAAGTTTACATTCACACAAAAGTCAATCAAAGAAAATTATCAATGTCCGACTTCTCCGAACTTCTTTTAAAAGTTTTCAAGGTTCTACCTTAAATCAAATCTACATATCTAGAGACGACACATCCATAAAATAACTATTAACAGTTTACAAATAACTCGTTACTGAACACATGTCCTAAATATTTACAACAATATAGAACGTCACTAAACAAGTCGCCCTGATTCATTCACCTTTCGAATGGCCTATAAGCTAAGCCTTCAAAGCTCTGAGCTTTCACTTGAAACAACTAAAACAATACCAAACGATACTTACAGATATAAAAATCCAATGTTCTCTTACAAATTTCTTAAACACAGCACGGTTTTTTCTAAATAAAAAAATTCAACTGTTTTTTTTTCCGGCACTCAGTTGTGACGCGAGATGGCGTGCGCTCCGCACGAGGTTTGCGAGAGGACTGAGGGACGCCCTCGCTTGTGAGGGAAGCGGGGCTGAGCGGCTCTGTACCGCTGACGATGTTCCAGCGATATTTACTTAGTTTTCACTTACATTGCTTGTTTTGCTAACTCCAAAACACAAAAACATATCATTTATAAATGACTTACCAATAAAAGGACATTAAACTGCAAAGAGTAATTAACTCTTTAAATAAATCTTCAAAATAATTTCATTATCTGATCGCAAACATCGTTAACTCGGCAACGTATGACGTTCAGTACGATTTCTACACTTCAGCATGAGTTGCTTGTTACCTAGTGGTGTAGAAGTAAGGTCGGCGACTCGTGTTTCGGACCAGCCGAGTTCCGCAACGGTTGCATCTAGGTGATTGCAGCCATCCTACTCTGATACGCCGCTAATGCTTTGAGATCATACCTGACTTTGAAACACGTCTGCCTTTTTGTGTCTTTAGTAAAAAACTGTAAGACAAACTATTACAAAGTTGCAAGTAAACAGATGGATTAAGGAAAGATTGGAACGTTGGCATATTGTAATAATAAAATACTAAGGACCGATTTTTCGATCAGCAGTTTTCTTAACTGTAGAAAAAATCGACATTTGACAGTTAAGTTAAGTAACAATACTAAAGTATGGAAGAATTGCCAAATATTCAAAGTTATTCCTCAGTAAAAATTTATCTGGCGTTAGAAAAATCTGCTCTTAATGGTGTTCAAAGAATTTATAGTATTTTCTTGAGATCTTAATTATTATCATATTGGGACTTGGGACTGTCTGCTTGTAAACCGTCTCTCAGCTCAGACGAATCTCTTAATGCGTCCATAACTATGTAACGTAAATAGATATCGATCGCAAAAGACAATTAAGTGGATAATAATTAGCTATAGACTATGAAGCTATTTGACTTAACAGTGCGAAGTAAAAGGTAAAAGAGGAAATATTGCAGGCTATCATTTAAATACTTTACCACATGGAGTGGAATACTATACCAAAAAAATGTGACCAATTCACATGTTTCATGGTATATGCGGGTAAACAGACTGATCATCTGATTGTAAGCAATCGGCGTCGCCCATGCACTCCCGGAACACTATAGGCGTTACAAGTGCATTACCGGCCTTTTGGGGATTAGGAATTAGGATATCTGGGGATTCAGGTATTAGGGAGATTAGGGAATCACTCACACGACGAAACACACTGCAAACGTTGCTTGTTTCACGTCGGTTTTCTGTAAGGCCGCGGTATCACTCCAGTAGAACTGACCCATTCGTGCCGAAGCATGGCTCTCCGACGCTTACATACTCCGGATGTCATTTAACAGAGACTAGACACTTTTCACCTAACCTTTTTAAATTCATGACCTTCCCCCCATCTGCCGAGCTTGAAGATAGAATATGACATACGCAGGCTTATGCAGAGAAGGTCCATAGTACAAGAGTGAACCGGCACCGATTGACCTGTTAATGATGTATAAAAAATATAACTCTAACATTCACTTTCAAATCAGTCTACTTACAGTACATTCAAATAACATAATCTATGCCATTTAACTATTGCAGTTTAATGCCAAAGGTCATATCATTTATTTCCGTGTCAAACAATTCTGCGAATCATACAAATATATTATATTTCTTGTGGAGTACGGAACTTAATGATGAACATGGGTTATATAAAAATACTAACGATCCGCCCCGGCTTCGGAAGTGCAATGTGCATTAATTATACATATAAACCTTCCTTAAGAATCACTCTACCTATAAAAAAACCGCATCAAATTCCGTTGCGTAGTTTTAAAGATCTAAGCATACATAGGGACAGACAGACGGCGGATAGCGACTTTGTTTTATACTATGTAGTGATGTTGGATCGGGTTAAATATTTAAAGAAATTACAGCACCCATAGAATATCATTAAATCTACGAACAAATAGTACACGTGCGTATTGCAATATTGCGCAGGCTGTAGTGGTTTTTTCATCACCATTATCAACACTACCTTCAGTGTATCTACCGGGAATATGTCCATTGCTGAACGACTACCTCATAAGATGGAGTTTGGCACAATCCCTATACATGGGAAGAGGCTTGGAGGTCCTTTGTTTTTCTATTTCTTTTTTTTTAAAACGTTGCCCCACACTACATTTTTCTCCTGTGTCGTGGGTGCGATTACAAACATACACGTTTACATACACATGGCACCTAAACCCGAAACAACAATGGATCACACAAAAAGATGCTCCAAGCAGAAAACGAACCTGCTACACGTTGCGTGGCAGCCAGATGGCCAGCCACCGCACCAGCCGTGCAGTGCACTTTTAAATTACAGAAAATTGTAAGTTATCATTTTTACTTAATTCTTAATTTGTCAAATATTGTTTTGCGCACTAAAACTTTATGCATGAACACAATCAACGCTTATGTCATCCAAGTAATTTAATTTACGATACCCGTTGCACAACTCATACACAACATTGCCCCCGGAATTATCTTAAAAAGAACATGTGTAACGTCTATAGACATTTTAAATGATCAGTATAAAGATCAGCAGTTACAGTTAATGACAGGGTTAGCCCATCGGTCCAAATCATCATTAACTGTTACAATGTAGACCGTACTCATTACCATTACGCAATGATAATCATCACAGCTCAAGTATTGATGATTACCATCCTATGACCCTTTCATGGTGTGGCCGAAATTAACTCGCGGCCATCTTATTGTCTATGGATTACCACATGCTATAAACCTCTTTTGTAAAAACCTCTTTTCTTTGATCAAGGTTTTTAATTTGTCTAAGATTTATTATGCGTGTTAATTGTGTCAGCAATTTTATTTTTGTTAATTTAATTGAATATGAAAGATTAATCAAGTCATTGCACAAATACAATATTCTATTACGTAATATTATAATACGATATTGTTAATCACTAGTCGGCTGTGATGTTGCATTGATACATTTTTCAGCAATTTTATTAATTCCCAATGATGTCCCAATGTTTTTTTTTTATAAAGTTTGAATACACTTGCCCATACACAAAACTAACTCGAGATTACACATGCTTACCAATTGCACTTTATACGATTAACGAAACAACCTTTAAAAGTTTAATAACTTTCTCAATTATAAAAGTCAAAGATATTAATAATAATAAGTGAGCCTTTATGAATAAAAATACCTCCTTCATTACTACGACACTGCAGGGATAAATAAAATTAAATAAGACAGCCAAAATATAAACGCGACGTCTATGCAATTGCTACGTACAACTTGCGAATATACTACGTTTTCGCAGTCGACCTCAAGGTAAATGCTACGCAACGGCTACGCGGCGTCTATGCAAAATACTACATTTTTGTAGTCGATAAAACCAAGTGCTACGCCACGTCTACGCGACGTCTACGCAAATTATTACGTTTTCGTAGTCGATAAAACTAAGTGCTACGCCACGGCTACGCGACGTCTACGCAAATTACTACGCTTTCGTAGTCGATAAAACCAAGTGCTACGCCACGGCTACGCAGCTTCTACGTAACATCTACACGCCTACGCCCACTACGCAGCGGCTATGTAGCGACTACGCCGTAGCTACAAGCTTGTTACCAGAAGAAGTTTATTGTTATTGAATTACTCAAACAAGTATGACCAACTTAAATATTCATTTGAGAGTATTCAATGGAAGTTTCTCAGTTAGTTAGGGTAAGTTTAAGCAAAGTTCTTACAAGTTAGTCAGGCGGACCGTGCAATCTTACTTCGTTTAGGAGTTTCTGTGAACGAGTTTAGTGTACCACGGAGTACGGACATACTAACCGATAAGAAGTGATAAGATTGTGAATGAAGATAGATATTTGGGAAACCTCTTATAAAGGAGAGAAGGAACTGAGGGTAGCTTTTTAAATGACTGACTCACTAAAGTCACGAATGATATTATTACCGTGCTGAAGTTCTTGGTGCATTTTTAATTAAGTAACTTAACTAATTAAAGTCTTTGGAATGTTTTATTTTTATTTGATTTATATACTTTTGATTCCATCTTCAGTTGCTCAGTAGTCATAACTAGCAATACGCGTAGGTAATTGAAAATTATCGGTTAATTCGTTGTTTATTAATTCGTGTTTCACTATGAAAACATTTTACCGCAATTTCAGTATAGAAATTAGTGTATCCATAGAATTATTAATATTCTAAGAAACCTTAAAATGTCAGCAATATCCCTGAACATTGTTTCATATTTATAAGTAATTAATTCCCTCGGGTGTTGTTGGTTTTGTAAATTAAACACGAAAGTTTATGGGACGGTCGTTTTCCGAGCAATATTGGTCGGTAACGGAGTAAACATTGCGCTATGTCCCCGGGGCGGTCAGTAGACTATTATCGTATGTTATGCGGCATTTTATAAGCTATAAATATAATGGTTACACGTATCGGTTCGGTAGTACAGAGTTTTCGATCGATATGTTCTAAAACGAATGAATTCATTGATACTTTCTTGTGTGTATTACTGGGTTTTTAAAAATCTCAGTAGTAGCACGAAGTCTGGAAATGTGCCCGGTATATGGCAATAGGCTCACCCACTATTATAGTGAAGAGTCATAACATAAATAGTGAAAAGTGAGTGTTACATTGTACAGTGGCATTAAGTGCCGTAACGTGCACCTCTGCCTACCCCTTCGGAGATATAAGGCGTGATGTTATGTTCCTTTCTTGTGCAAAAATAATCGATTGAACGTTAGGTATATTTTCCTTATACGATTATGCCAAAATGTTATAATTATGTTTAAATTCTTAAATACAAGGATGCCAGAGTGAAATTCGTTGCCCAATCCAGGAAATAGAACGTTCGATCTTAGCTCGCAGTTTCGTTTAATAATCTTCAAACATAGCCTTTATTTAACCTTTCCCGTTGTTTTGGATAAAATGCGGGTTATTCCCAATAAAACAGGCTTATCAATAAACCCGTGATGAGTTAAAAAATATTGAGTAATTTGTTATCA